AAAGTAAAACCTGTAACTAAAAAAAAAAAAAAAAAAAAAAATAAGAAAAGAAAAGAAAAAAATGTGTTGGGTATCCTGTTTAACAAAGGGAAATTAATCGTGTTAGAGAATGGTTACAGGGAAAACATGAACAGAGGACAAAATATGAAAAATAAAAGGAAGATGAGATTGAAGAGAAGGGCAAAAGTTGAAAGGATAAAAGAGAAAAGGAAAGAAACTAAAAGAAAAGAGGTTCAAAAAAGAGAATTTAAAAACCCAGATCCCCCAAAAAATCTGTTGGAGGAAAGAGAAAAATGATAAATATAAAAACCAAAATGATTGATTCAAAGAGAATAATTCTTCCATATTTTTTACTGAGTGGTGTCTTTATAGGTTCTCTAGTTCAGGGATCCAGCCGGTCACAATTTTCTCAGCTTTCTTTAGGGTGTGTTTCTGAAGGGCCCTCCCTGCACCAGAGGCCCTTCTGTCCATGCATCCAGGACAGTAGTGACCAAGGGGTGTCCGTGCTCATGCTGGTAGATAGGAAATGCAATCAGCCTCCTGGTCTCTGCTGGATGTGGGCCATGCGGAGATTCAAATAAACTACGGGACTCAAAGTCAACACTTGTGGGGTCTGCTTGGTCCCTACAATGGGATGTCCTCAGGCTACCCTATACTTCTCAGGGTGATCTACATCTGGCCCACTCCCTCTCCACAGTGGTCTCCTGTGGTTGTCTCTCACCCAATCATTTCGGCAGGGTAAACCCGGAGTCTCTGAGGGTACTAGCCAGCTCTGTATGGTAGTCCCTGTGACTTCTGGATTTCTGGGACTACATTTTTCTTCCCAAACTTCGTCCTCATCCAGGATCAGGTTGGTTAGGCGAGGAGCAACAGAGACCAAGGGGAAGCAAAACACAGAGCCAAATCAGAGTTGGTGGACGGTCACACTACATAGCTGGGAGGCTGTTTGTTTGCTGGGAATAGGGGGCCTCTTGGCATTTAGACAATCAGGCTGTCCTTTTGTCCTATTGTTTCATCCTTTTAAGCAATACCGGAATGTTCTGTTTCTAGCATAACATCAATAACATGGAACATGGAACATGGAACCTATGATACTCTCTGCCCACAGACTGATACAGGCTGAGAAAAAAGTATGAGTCCATTTTATGGTGAGGTATTTTTTGTTTGTTAAATCCCTCTGGCAGATAACACAAATCAGTTCAAATTCATCCCACTAAAGTCATGCATTGCAGTTGCTCTGTTTTCTGATGAGTATGTCCTGGGAATGGGAGGATTGCTCCACTTACAATTCTAATCTGAAAGATCTCTTCAATTTATGATGAAACCTTACCTGGTGACTCTTTTATTTTTTAATTCTTATTTTAAATATTCAAAGCATATGCAAAAATAGAGAGTATATGCTATTTTTCTGTATACATCCCAAGTGTTAACAGCTATCAGCATGTTACCATCCTTCATTTTATTTATTTTCCATCCTCACCACCCCCCCTTTTTTTTTGGTCATACTATTTCAAAAGAAATATTTGAGTTTTTCATTTTACCTATAAATATTTTAGTAAGCATCTCAAAAAGGGGGAAGGACTAGAATGTATGTTATTCTTAGTTATATGCTTCTAAAGCATAAGGCAGTGATGGCAAACTTTTTAGAGCTTCCAGTATAACTAACAGCCCACTATGGCGTGCGTGCCATAGGTTCACCACCACTGGTATAGAATATGGAAAGGCAGAGGGAGGATGGTTGCTTTAGAGTGCAGAAATCCAGCAAATGCTGGTTAGCCAGTGATCGAGGTTGCTATCCTCAGTGACAAATTATGTTGATAGCAAATACCCCTGATCTCATGCAATGATGAAAGTATTAGTACAATCTGAGTAAAGTGTGTATGTCAGTTAGCAGTAATGTGACAATATTGGCCCCTCAGTTGAGACAAATTTACGACAGTAATGTAAGATGCTCTTAATAGTAGAAAACAGGTACAGAATGTAGAGGAAACTTGATATAATCTCTATTCAGTGTTCTATAATTTTTAAAGCTTATTATTTAAAGGAGGAAGGGGTATGACAACCACAGTGTCACTGTCCTACTTAAAATGAAAAGTTGTGCTAAACCAGGTCAGAGATGGAACATTTTTGCATAATTTATACTTACCTTCAGCAAAGGTACTTGTATTCATGGCAAAAAATTTTTTAAAAAATATTTTGGTAGACTTTAACAGGATTAAGCCTTATTCTTGAAACAAATTAATGATTTCCCCAAATGACTGCCAAAGGTTGAGTGAATTTTAGAAATTACTTTTAAGCTATTTTATATGGAATATTGTAGTCTCTTATTCCACAAAGTAGGACAGTGAATTTTGGAGTAGATCTGCTAGAGTTTTTTTTTTTTTTTCTTGTATGCTACCAAAGTTTTATGATATGGCCATAAAGCTTTCATATACATCCATAATTAAATTATTGGAAATTTTTCTTTAATAGCACTTAAGGAAATAATTCCCTGATGCCATTCAACACCTAGTAATATTTTATTTGATTGCTATATACAGATTTTCTCTCTCTCTCTCTCTCTCTCTCTCTCTGTCTCTCTCTGTCTCTCTCTCTCTTTTTGGGGGGACAGGGTCTTGCTATGTAGTCTAGGCTGGCCTTGAACTCTCAATGGAGCCTAGGCTGCCCTCAAACTCATGGCAGTCCTCCTACCTCACCTTCCTTAGTGATGGGATTACCAGCATGGACCATCACATCTGGCTGATTATTTTTTAAATTTAGTAAAATTTTGGGAACATGGGCCATTTTTGGACAGAGATTGGATGAATGGATTGCCAATCTATGGGTCTTTTTTTCAAAGGAAAATCAAGGTGTATGATCAAGGGCACGGACTCCTTAATCAATGAGTTCAGTTTTTGGACACTTTAGATAACTTGGAAGCTATAGGCCATTTCCCTAAGGAAAAATATATGTGTACACACTTAACATTTTTTGTAAATAATTTCTGGGTGTTCAGCAAGCCCTTGAAGCCTGTCAGAGAGTCTGGGGTCTGGGTTGAGGACATGTCTGAAGTGTTTCTTTCCAATCCAACATTCTGCTGTGCATGAGGAGGCCACTATCAACAGGACGTGCATGTTTACTCGTTTCATTAAAAGAGTGCACGGCACATGGCAGACATAGACTGGAGGAATACAATCGGTAGTCACATGATATAGTGGGAAAAACCACACATTTAGTGGCAGAACGCTTAGATTGTGCAAGTGACGGTACTTTTGAAGAAGTCATTTAATTCTTTGGGAAGACAAAGAGTCGAGGTTAGGAACTTATTGTGAAAAGAACTCTGCAATGTTGTCATTCTCATCTTACAAATTTGAAACTGAGATTTAGAGATACCTGCTAGTGAATATTCAGTCAAGATTGTCTGAATCTGCGGCGCATGTTTTTTGGATCACACTTGTAATTTTCGAATGTGTGGTACTCGAGACTGAACCTGGAGTCTAGCTCATGCCAGACAGTGTATATTTGATTTCTTAATAAGAATTTGCTAAGGTGCTAAGATGTTTGAAAACCACTGCATTCCACGTTGCTGCTCAGTTTTTACATCTGCAATAGGGGTATAATATCTTCCTTTTTTGAGAGATAAGTAAAAAGATGCATGTTAAACAGCTGTGTTAACTAGTAATTACTATATGGTAGTAACAGAGGATTTATTTAAAACTCTTAACTAAAATCAGCTCACAATCTCAGCAATATGTTTGACACAAAGGAGCAAACATGTTGGCTTTCATGTGGTTTTTAGGCAGCAGTTTAGTTTTGAGACTCTATTTCAAAGGTGATGCCTCAATACATTGTTGAATGTTTAATCATTAACACACTATTAATTGCATAATTGGATTTTAAGCCACCATGAATATCAAGTGTATTTAAATTCATCCACCTATCATTTGAAGAATTGTTAAAAGTAAATTTAGCATTTTGAGAAATGTCAGCTATGATTATTGAGTTTATAATAATTAAAATACAATAATAATTTTATTTGGGTAATAAGCCTTAATATCTAGGGCTTTAACATTGGTCCCATCCATCTGTCAGCCATTGCTTTAGGGAGTTGCTGGAATCATATGACACAGTGGGGCGGGGCGGGGACTGGGGTTGTAAGAGAAGTCCTCTGGGAGTCTGCCAAAATATTTAGAGCATTGCACCCAAAAAAGTCATAGGAGAAACCTACTGGATATTGCCAACTGACCTGTGGGTAGAAATAGCACCTTCTATAATTGAAATGCAGTTGGCTGTCCTTGTCCAGGAGTTCTGCATCCCTGGATTCAATCCAGTGCAGGTTGAAAATATTTGGAAAAAGATTCAACTGTACTGAACATATACAGACTTATTTTTCTTCTCATTATTCCCCAAACAATACAGTGTGAAAACTATTTACACCCCATTTACATTGCACTAGGTGTTATTCTAGAGATGATTTAAAGTATATTGGAGGATGTGTGTAGATTATTTACAAACACTGGCACATTTTATGTAAGAGACTTGAGCATGCGCAGATTTTGATATCACAGGTTGGGTGGTCCTGGAACCAATTCTCCCCCCGCAAGAGACAACTGTATGTCTTTCATAGTTGTTTCATAGTTGGTTTTTTTTTTTCTCATTGGAAAAAAATACTGAAAAAAAATGCAAAAAAAAAAAACCCTTGTATGTTTGGTACTTCAAAAACATAATCATTTTCATCATGAACTCATTAAAAATTCCTGAGTATTTTTTTAAGTGAAAAGATCAATAACTAATCTAGTTTCTCTTCCACACCAACAGCTATAGCAAAGGCAAATCACAGTCTTTGGTGAAACTGTACAAGGTTTTTCTGTGGCTGTCTCTCACCTTCCTCTCCCCTCCTTCTCCCATCTCACAGAACTCCCATCCCCTCCCTGTTCTTCTCAGTCTTGAGACTACCAGAGGATACTTTATTCCCTCCGACTCCCTTCTTCGGCCGCACCCAGAACCAATCTGATCTTCTTTCCTTCCTGTCTTGACGAGCCAGTCCTGCATCTTTCCTTGCTCCTAACTTCACCTGGCTGCTGTTGTCTGAGCTATCATTTACCTTTGGTTCAATCCTGTCACATTCCCTGGCATCCATTTCCAAATTGTCCTTGCCGGAAGATCTTCCTGAAAGTGATTTTACTGATACAGTGGAGGCTGGCAGATGCTTTGCCGCCAGTGCATTTTCTGTAAATGCATCCCTGGGGTGTGCACCGTGAGCACATGTGAATGCGGCTGAGAGATTTGCAAGGTCGTATTCCCAGATGAGACCAACTAAAGGAAACGTCCAGAGCTTAACCTCGTTTCTCTCCAAGACGCATATTCATTTGCACTTCTCTCAGGTCGGCACCCCTTTCCTTGTAGTGTACATGCTTTTGAATTGAACGGACCTGAGTTTGCACTGTGACACTGCCACTTTCTACCTGTCTGACTTTGGGAGTTCCCTGGGTCTTAGGATCACTGTTGTTCTTATTTATCTTGGTGGTGCTGAAGAATGAAATCTATGGTAGGGCCACATGCCTACTGGAAAAGTGCTCTACCTGTGAGCTACATCCCTAGTCATTGCCCTTCCTGCCCTTTTAGTTTAGGAAAAAATGCTGGTAACACTAGCTCTTAACCTCATGGCATTATCCTCTGATTTAAATGAGATAGTGCTATAGAGTGCTAGCCCAGGGATAGTCTCAGCTATTGATCTAATTCTTAATTCCAAGGCTGAGAGTTTACCCTTAAAGTCTACACAGGCCCTTTGTAACCTCTTAGAGATGATCTTTATGGTCCCTTCAATTCTCCATGTAGATTTCCATTTTTATAGATACTTTTTTTTTCAGAAACACATTGTACTCCATTGGTAGTTGGAATTCAAGTAAAGTGGGCCTTAAAGACTTATAGTGATCCAACTAGTGACAAAGACAAAGTCTCTGCACCGAGTCCGGGCCCACTCTCTACTGTTTTGCAGTCTTTGTGCCTCCTATGCTGTGCTGTGCTCACTGTGTGCCCTCTCTCCATAATAATAATCACTGGAGTGACGAACAGTAACAATAACTACCATTAGCTAAAGATGTGCTTTGTGTCAAAGGCCTTATTCCTCTGTTCAATTTAATCTCCACAGTGGTCTGGCCTTATTATT